GTGCCTTTCCTAACCATCAAATCAGAGATTGAATCAGCATATGTGCTCATAGTAGCAGAGACTTGAGGGTTTATAACAATTTTTTTAGTGAAAAAGGCTCTAAAAATTATTTTATTTTCTCTTCCATTTATGGAAACATATGTATTTTAACCATCACTTTAAATAATTTTTAGCAAGAAGGGTATTTTTATTATATTAGGTATTAATTTTTTAATGAACATATAAGCCAGTATTGTGAAATCTATAATTCTTCTGTGAAGAATGTGGAATGAACCTAACATCTCCTTTGTTTACAGGGCATTCAAATTTATCTAGGAAGAAGTCAAAAATAATTATAATATTCTTTAGAAGTCACATGATAGATTGCTGAATTAGAATTTAAAAGCCAAGGAGAAGTTTATTGTGGATTGAAGAAGTCAAATCAACTTCTTGGAAGAAGTAGTTTTTAGAGATGGCCAGTAAGAGGATGCCTCTATCTTATAAAAACATCTTAAATATACTGAATCACTCTCTGGCTCTAAGGTCCTACATTACTCTAAAAACAAACAATGACAAATGTGTTACTGCTGTTTGTGTTGTACAGAATCTTGGGAAATAACATATTAGTATTTTTCCTGGAGGCTAGAGAGAGCATAGAACCATGTTAAATTTTTAAAATTTTAGACGGTATACATAAGACTTATATTTCATTATTACATAAATAAGGATAATTTTTTATACATGAAATATTAAATACTATACATAGGTAGATACAGATATATAGATGCAGATGGTGTGTGTGTGTGAAACTGATTAGACCTAGGGCCAAATATTAAAAATAATTTAGCATAGCTGTATTTTCTGTAGGATCCTCTCTGTTAATATACTGAGTTGAGTATATTATATTTAAATGAACTTGTTTATTTAATAAAGAGAAAGACATCACTATAGATGTTTTAAAATACTAGCCAGCTATTTTAAAAAGATTTTTCAATATATGCTCAGTTGAAATGCCAACAGTGGCCAAGCTGATTAGCTTTAAGGAAACTCAACTGGCATTCAGTAAAAATCTCATTTCAATCTTGGTAGAAATAATTTATTGTAAAAATTTTAGAAAATATAGATAAGCAAATAAGAAAAATATTTTGTATATTATCACATATGTGAGACAATCAATTATATCATTTTGTTTTACATCCTATTTCTGTTTTAAAAATTATATAACAAAACATACTAAGAATCTACATTTTTTAAAAATCTTGAAAACTAAAATCATACTATAAAATTGTGTAATAACGTTTCATATTTGATATAAACATCCTTCTATGTCACTTAATATTCTTCGCCATTATTATTTTAATGGTTTATAATACTTTTTGTATAATGTACTATAACTTTTTAAAGCAGCCCTCAGTTTGTGGTACTTAAATGCTTTTGAATTTTTCAGGGTTATAAACATTACTGTAAAGAATCTCTACACAACACAATGCTTGAACGTATCAATGATAATTTCAGTTGGACAAAAATCTATAAAATAGGGTTGATATATTTAACAGTGTAGACCGATACTTAATTCCTTCCATTATTCTAAGGAAGATGGCGGTGATTTTAGTTTGCAAATGGAAGCCAAATTTTGCCAAATGCTTCTGTTTGCCAACAAAATTGTTTGGGAACAGTAGTATTCATGAACTGAGGCATTACTGTACATTTAATATTCTGATACATATTGCCTAGTTGCCCTCAACAAGGATTTCACCAGTCTATACACTTACTGCCACTGTTTAAAATTGCACATTTTCTTTTTACTGAAGAAAACTGGGAATATTAATAATGCAGAAAAGATTCCAGTTATTTGGTGTGAAAGATTATACTTTACTCTAAAATTCTTCCATTCATATGATTTGTAATTAGATGAGATATTTGAAAATGTTGGAGTTCTGTGTTTGTATTTTGTAATTCCCTATCAGTCCTGGTGATTAACTTATTTTCTTTTAGTTCTTGTACTTAGTTTCAAAAGATGGTGCAAATAATTACTGAGGAAACTAAAATGTTAGAAGAAGCTAAGGAGTAGAAACCCATAGACTAGGTTCCTGGATTCATTTATTCAATCATAATTATGAAGTGTTTATTATTTGCCAGGCATTCTTCTAGGTATTGGAGAAGATAGATCTTGTGCCTGGAAAAAATAAATCAAGAAATAAGATATGCACTAATCTCTTAATAGAAAAATAAAACATGTTAGACAGGGAACAATGAGTATTATGATGATGGCTATTTTAGTTAGGGTAGTCAAGAAGGTCTGTGTGAGCGAGATATCTGAAGATAGACCTGAATAAATGTGCAAGGAAAGTATATATGTGACTATTTCAAACAGAAAAAAAATACAAAAGTCCTCAGACTGTTTTTAAATAGGGCAACTTATTTGCTTTCTTTTTTCATTTTTTATTTGTATATATCTGTGCTACATAATGATTAGATTTATAGTGGAGAATTCGTACATATACATAACATATCTCAATTCCTTTTTGTTCCCTTCCCCTCTCACCTCTCCCTTCTACTCTTGGTCCCTTTCCCATTTAAAAAAGAGGTCTCCCTACTTCCTATTGTCTATCCTTTAAGTTGCCCTTTATTTATATTTTGGGTTTCTAGTATAAGAGGAACCATGTGGTATCTCTGTGTTTTAAAGATTATTTAAATCATTTTATGTTTATGAAGGTATATAGCACTTTTTCTTTTTGAATCCATCTATAGCTTTTCTTAACAGCTTAGTTTTAAGACTCATAGATGAAGATGAAAGTCAGCTATCTCTTCTTAACCAAGCTTTCATGATAATTACAATTTTAAGAAAATGTAGAGGGAAATTACTGTTTTAAGTTAAATTTAGTATAATGATAATACTTTTACTTACTTGGTTTCGAGTACCACAGGATTATCAGGAAATAGCTTTTGTAAAAGTGTTGAGTAATCAAGAGCTATTTATTGCCTTATTAGTTCTCAAGTGATGAAAGGTATTTCTTTTAATAAAAAATAAATGATGTATAATGGCCTGTAAAAGGAGATTAATATGAGCTAGGACCCAAATACAATTTATTCTTCAGAATTGATGGCAATAGTTTTATTTCTAAGAAAATGATTGACAAGTGGAACATGTGACAGTCCAGTGACGGAAGTACACTGATTTCAAGGATGATTTTGCAGAAAGTATTGTCACTGTGATTATTCAGACAGTGTGATATGGTTTAATTTCACATTGAATGGTAGATGACAGTGGGCTTCCATATATAGTGTATATATAGACTTAAATTTCAGGGCATTTAATAGCTTCCTTTTTTGTATCTGATAAGGATATGTGTGCCCAATCTTTGCACTATTTCATTATTCGCTCTCATTTACTACCTATGATCTTACTCTGTGCCATATTTGACATGTGTTGCTTTGAAGTGTTTTAAATTTCTGAACTCCTATACATTTCCTCTTCAAGTTTAAAAGCCCTTTACAGTTCAGGAGTACAAAAACTAAGATCAAGTACAGTATCTGTTATGCCTTCTACTGTATGTAATATGAGGTTGTTCCATTAACATGTAACATGTAATACTTATGGTAAATAAGTAAAAGAATAAATAGCAAATGATAAGCTCAGAGATTTTTGGAGCACATTAATAATTGGATAGAGAAATATATCAACAATTATGTTAAGTTGCTATTACAAAATGGAAAATAAGCACAGCTTTTAAATCCAGTGATTTAGGTAAATTTTAGTGATTACTACTTAATTGACTTATACCTGAGGCAGACATAATTAGTTGTCTAGTTGCCAGTAGCAGATACCAACTTTAAAAATAATGTCGTTAATATGGAAATTTATTGCCTTATTTGTTTTTATTTTTTTCCAAAAATTATACATTTAACATTTATAATATGATGTTTTGAAATACATATACATAAAGATTATTATTGTAGTCAAGCCAATTAACATAAGCATCTCTTCAAAAAGGTATTTCGTATGGTACTAGTACCCGAAATTTATCCTTTTAGTAAATTTCCTGTACATCACAAAATATTATGAACCATATATTGTGATGTGCATTTGGCATCTAGATTTATTGATCCTGTTTTAATGCAACTTTTTAATCCTTTGACCAACATCTTCTCAATTTCCCTTACCTCTGAGGCCTTAGTATTCATTTTTAAAATGTATTCTATGTAAGCTATCTTCCTATGAATTCAAGTTTTTAAATTCCACATATAAGTGAGATGATGTAGTTTTTTGATGTTTGTTTTTGATGATTGTTTTTGATGTTTGTTTTATTCTGTTAGTAACATATCTTCCACATTTACCTATGTTGTTCTAAATGTCAGGACTTCCTTATTTTTAAAGGTTGAATAATATTCCTTTTTGTGTGTATCAGAATTTTATGTATTTATCCATCAGTGGATAGTTAGTTCATCTCCATGTCTTAGCTATTGGCAATTATGTTGCAATGAACATGGGAGTGCAGAGATCTCTTCAAGTTACTCATGTAAGCAAGCTTGTTGTCACTGTGACAAAATATCTTAAATGATCAACTTTTAAGAAGAGAGGGTTTATTTTAGTTTTCATTTACAGAGGGTTGACTTCATGGTAATTTACCCATACTGCTTTCAGTTTATAGTGGCACAGCATTTCATGGCAAGAGGATATGGCAGAAGTGGCCTGTTTACCGCATGGTGGCCAAGAAGCAAAGGGAGTAAGAGGAGGGTCCAAAGTCCCAGTATTATATTGAAGCACATGCTCTCAAAAACTGGACATCCTACCACTAGGCCCCACCTTCCGAGATGCCACAAGCTGGTGCCTAAGCTTGCAATATATTTGACTTTGGGCAACACTTAAGATCCAAACTATACCAGTACTTATTTCATATCCCTTTGTTACTATGATGTTTCAACTTAGAATCTTTTAACCTTATGATGGTGTGAAAGCTATATACTCAATAGACACCGTACTTCAAAATTGAAGTTTGATATTTTTTATCTTTTCCCAGGCTACCAGTATGCAATATGATACTTTCCCGTGATATTCAACTGCAGTCAAAAAAGTAAGTAGTCTGAGCACATAAAGGTTAGGTTAGGTTAGGCTAAGCTATGATGTTCTGTAGGTTATGTGTATTAAATGCATTTTGACTTACAGTATTTTCACCTTATTAGGACATAATTCCATAATTAATCAAGGAGAATCTGTACCCAGGAAATGGCATTTCTGGATCATGTGGTAATTAATTTTTTTGAGGAATCATTTTGTTATGCATGAAAGGAGTACCAATCAATATATGTTCCACATGTCAAAGATTCCCTCTTCCTCACACTATTGCCAGCACTCATCTTTTGTCTCTTTGATCACAGCTCACCTAAGAGGTATGAGATCATATTTCATTTGTGGTTTTGACTTTTATTTTCTTTGTGATGAATGATGTTGAGGACCTCTGTATATCTTCTTTTGTAACATGCCGATTTAGCTTTTTTGCCCATTTTTAAATTGGATTATTTAATTTGGTTTTCTAATTTGAGTTTTTTAGCAATGCCATCAACACTGCCTCTGAAGCTGGAAATGCCACTTAATAATACTCTCTTGTTCTCAAGTTTCATATTACCAAATGTTACATATCTTACATGAGAAATATGCCATGAAACCACTCCTTTCTTTTTATCCCTATTGATATTGTGCTAGTTGAGGCTGCCATCATCTTTCAATGAAACTACTGGTATTATAAAATGTTTCTAACTATTCTTCCGGTCTCATGTCTAAACCCCAACCCATGCCCATTAAGCATCATTAACAATACTATCAGTATTACTTTTATAAAAATGGAATCAAGGCTTTTCCACCACTCCCAGCCCAGAGGAGGTGAGCAGCATGGGTGCCAATAGCAACACCCCCACTCCACCCCATCGAAATGAGAAGACATATAAGCAAGTCTCAAAACCAGATTTCCAGATCACCTACAGCAACCACAAAGGGAAACGGGATGGAACACTCTGATACTCAAACACCTGGACTCCCTGAAATGGCAACAAAAGAGGATCTGGAAAAAATGAAATCAGAAAAAATTTCTCACATAACAGCAGATATTGTGGCCAGAGTGCAAGACATGATTAATAAATCTAGAGACAACACAGATAAAAAAAAATAGAAGAGCTGAGGACCAGGATGGAATCCCAACATAGGAAACAAATGGAATCCATAAAACAAATACAAACAGATTTCCAAGAGATTAAAAACTTCATTGCAAGTCTACACAGCAGAATGAGCCAATGCGAGGACAGAATTTCAAATATATAAAATAAGACTGCAATTAGTGACTAGGAAAAGAAAAATTGCTTCAAAATTGTAAGGTATCATGAGAAATCAATCCAGCAGCTGCTACATGATGCAAAGAAGAATAACATAAGACTGATTGGAGTCAAAAAGAAACAAGAGAGAGTGCAGATGACTTAAAAAAAACTGTTCACAGCAGTAATATAAGAAAACTTCCCAAGCAGGGGAAAAGAACTTGACATACAGATAAGTGAGGCATATAGGAATCCAACTAGCCTTGATCAAAAAAAATCTACACATAGGCATATAATTGTTAAGATTCCAGAAACCCAACAGAAGAACAAAGTTCTACAA